GGAGTTGGAGATTCAAACTGTCTGACACATTTTGGATCAAGATTGTAAAATTCCTTTGCTGATTCCTGAGGAAGTGTAAAACAGCACGGTCCAACAGATGGGCCCAGCACCACAAGTATATCCTTAACATTACAGCCATATTCTGTTATCATAGCATTTACTGTAGCCATAGCAACTCCTAACAAAGTGCCTTGCCATCCTAGGAAAAAACATAAGGGGAAAAAATCCTGCAAGTTTATTTTTAAATTGAATGGTTAAAGAAAATTAATTATTATTATTATTATTATTAGGATCTACAAGCCAAATACATGGAGGAATAATTAGCTTTTAGCAAACATTAACAGTCCTCAGAGCATTCTTATGAAGTAGCCGTATTACCATTTTAGAGATGGGGAAACTGAAGAAGAATGGAACCTTTAATTGCCCAAGGGCAGAGGAAGTCAATATTACAAGTTTCAGAGTAGCAGCCGTGTTAGTCTGTCTCCGCAAAAAGAAGAACAGGAGTACTTGTGGCACCTTAGAGACTAACAAATTTATTAGAGCATAAGCTTTCGTGGACTACAGCCCACTTCTTCGGATGCAAGTGGGCTTAGAACTCAGGAATGCCTTGCTGCCAGCCCTGATTTTACACCATTCAATTACACCACACTGTTCACTCTGTGCTGCAATATCTCATGAGTTAAATACTGTAAAGGTTTCTTTACAATCTCACATGACAGCACTGGGGAAAAATATTATTTAAAGAGAAGGGAAAAAACATTTTATATGGGGAAAAAAAATCTCCTTATCTGTGCTACTTGGCTGAAGCAAGTGTAAACTGTGCTGCATGCCAGGATTGTTTGGACTACAAGGAAGAAAACCTAGCTCTGACTCCCTGTACCTTACACAGAGCTCAAGACAGGCTTTGCACAGAACTGAGTGTGCCTTAATGTAGAGGCAAAGGTATTTTGTTTCTTTTTCTCCCCTCCTTTTCTGTGACCCCTGGCTACAGTCTGGGCCACAGAATGGTATTTAGGGGTATACAGAGCAAGGTTTAAACCTATTTTTAAATGTTTATCAAAATAATTTGACCTGCTACTGACTTCAGGCATGGATTTGGGGAGCGCCAGAAGGATGGACATGGGGGAGAGAATATGTGACTGGTCAGGGACATGGTAGAATACAAGGTATGCGGATTGGAGAGAGGGGATTGGGTGACATGATACCTGGTCTTGGAATGGGAGGGTGAAGCAGATGGAGGGGGTGCATGGAGAGGGCACAGGAGACTGGCAGAGAATGGACAGGGTGGAGCAGCTTGGGAGGTCAGAGAAGGAGGGAGCAGGTAACTGAAAGAGGAACATAGAAAGGGACAGAGCATGCACAAACTCTTATCCACATTAAACTTTGAACACTTAACATTTCGAGATCATAGAATCATAGAATCATAGAATATCAGAGTTGGAAGGGACCTCAAGAGGTCATCTAGTCCAACCCCCTGCTCAAAGCAGGACCAATTCCCAGCTAAATCATCCCAGCCAGGGCTTTGTCAAGCTTGGGGGGTCCGGTAAGGGGGGAGCAGGTAACTGAAAGGGGAACATAGAAAGGGACAGAGCATGCACAAACTCTTATCCACATTAAACTTTGAACACTTAACATTTTGAGATATAAAAACTTCAACCTCTTAAAATTGTCAACGTGGATAAAAGCTTCCCTTTTATCCTCGCTTCGTTCCCGTCACCACTCACTTCCCCCACGCATAACACACACACACACACACACACACACACACGGTGTAGCTCCCTACACACATACATCCTTCTTGTATGTATAAAGCCTGCAGAGGGAAGCTCCACGCTGATGGGCCTCCTAAGAGCTGTTAGATCCACGGACCTCCGGCACAATCTGATTGAAATGTTTGATGCTCACACCAAAAACTGGGCAATTCACAAACACAAACCTTGTTAGAATCAGGTAAAGTTGCAAGTGTGTTTGACTGGAATCCAGCTAACTATTACATGCTCTTCAGAAGAGTTCTACATCTTTGAAAAAGAACTATATTAGGAAGCCTAGAAAGGAAGAGTTAAGGGATTCATCCTGGAATCCTTCACTCACTGGCTCTCACTAAACCCAACCTTACTACTTGATTATTAATCCCGTTTACTATTCAAGGGATCCATTCCCAGTACTCTCCTAGTATTATATTACTTTGATTATGTGAAATGAATACTAGATGCCCTTACCAGAATGAGCAGCTCCACATGCTTTTTTGACAGGATCAGCAAAAAGCACAGGTATGCAGTCAGCGCCGAGAGCGGCTATTGTAACATCTTTCTGATTCGTTACTATTCCATCATAGCTGTCAGGCTGGGGCTTTCCCATAATCCAAACATCACTGGCATGATTGACCTGTCAGTACAAAGACAGATGAAGCACAGTTATGAGGCAGTGAAAAAAAAAATTAATTCATACTTTGCTGAATGCCCTTTCTCCAGCTCTCTTGTTCTCACCCTCTTCAGGCCAACCCTTATGTTTAGTACTCCATCC